GCCTGCTTCTCCCTCTCCCTCTGCCTGCCTCTCTGCCTACTTGTGCTCTCGATCTCTCTGTCAAATAAATAAATAAAATCTGTAAAAAAAGAATCTGCATTTGAGAACAGAGGAAACCAGGGAGTAAAAATATTGATGGTGTTAAGTCAGCCATTGGGAAGACTCCTTGACAGCCAAGTCTGAGGAAAAGCTATCCCGTGAATGTACCACCATTATCAGCCCCTGCGCACCTGGAGTTTGGTAGGAGACAAGGGTTCGGTCCTCGGGATTTGGGAATTTATGCTAGTATGAAATCGTAGCAATGACCAAAGGTCTGTGTTTACTCTTAATGTTCTCCATTGCCTATAAAGGAAAACAGATTTTATTCACTAGTTGATTTGCTATTGGGTATCTTAGTACCCCTGAATGCCATTTAAGAACAAACAAAATACTCAATGTTGTGAAGGAGTCATCCCAATTAAACTTGTTCTCTTCTTCTTTTACAGGTTTTGGGTCTAGTAATACTGGTTCTTTGTTTGGTCAAGCAGCCAGCACTGGCGGAACAGTCTTTGGCCAGGTAAATAACGTATGTTTGCCTCCCTTCGCGTCAACGTGTAGCAGACCCATCCACACTGTTCCCACACAGTGTAAGCAGTTCGTACTGTGTGCCCGAGGCCAGCAAACAGCCTCACGGGGTTCTCAAGCTCTGCCTTCTTTAACTCCCTTGGGGAGGCCGAAATCTCAGCCTCTGATTGGAGAGAATCACTAGTTTTGACCTTTCTTTGACAGTCCTCTAGGAAAGCACTTAAAAAGCACAGTGCCTAATCTCCATCCATCCTCTGCCCGTTCTGCTAGGGCAGGGGTTGGCAAACTACAGTCCGTGGGGTTAATCCGCTCCTCAGCCTTCGTGTGTGTGTGTGTGTGTGTGTGTGTGTGTGTGTGTGTTTTAAGATCCTGGAGCTAAAAATAGTTTTTACCCTTTTAAATGGTTATTTAAACGAAAAGAAGACGATGTAACCAACACCATATATGGCCCCTGGACTAAGCTGTATGCACTCCTTTTGGTGACCTGAGTTGTTTGAGTTTGTACAGCTAGTGGTTATGTACGTGTGGGCACAGTTTTAAGTGCTTTACAAAAATGGACTCGTGTGATCGTTAGTGCTTCTGTGAGGCATAGGGGCTGCTATTGTCCCCGTTCCTCAGACGAGAGAGGGACTGTGTTGTTACATCACGTGCCAGCAGCTTTCAGGTCATAGTAACCCCTCGAGGAATCCTTCTGAGGGAAGGTCCTCTGATGTATCAGGGACGGTGATGGCTCTCTGAAGGTGGGCTTAGCACGTGTCCGTTAACTAACGCAGCAGCAGACGTATTGTGTGTTTCTGCCACATCTGCAGGAAGACGTTTTCTTTGTGCTCCCCCTTTCCTTCAAAGATGGGCTCTGCCCTGGTCCGTGATCTGTGGCAGGGAGAAGTGAAACTTCAGAGCTGTTAATGGCAGGTTAAGTCCTGTAAACCAAGTTCCTCACTGGAAACAGCTAAAAATGGTGGATAAAACATAAAAACCATAGTTTTCAAAGCACTGGCAAGCTAACAAGGTATTTTACCAAGCCAAATGAAAAGAAAATGGGTACCTGTAGAAGTGAGGGCATTTATTAATCTGAGGAAATTTTAATTTCCTATGTTAATAACCCCAAAGGGCAAAGGGGCAGAAATCACTAACTGAGATATGCACAAAGGAGGGAGTCTAAGAGAGACCCTGCCCCACGATGAGCTGGGACTCCAGATTCACTGGTCTCCGCCTGTGAATGTAGCCTGAAAGGATCCTAGGATGGTGGTGTCTTCAGGTGTCTGGCAAAAGCAGCACAGACCCACCTTGAAGAAAAGTAACTTCACTCTAGTCCTTGGACAGTTTTTAAGGACATTGATTCCCACGCCTAAATTAATCACAGAAGGAAACAAAGAACTATGACCAAGGGCCAGGATAAACAGCAGACATACATTTGCGTAGACTTCTAGACTATATAGAACAGCTCTGTTTTTACATGTTCAGTAGAAATAAAAGGCAAACTTGAACATACTGGTAAAGAATAGGAGATAAGAAGTGTCATAGCTACATTGAAAACCAAGTAGAACTTCTAGAAAAATATAATTAAAATTTAAAACCAGCAGATTAGACCCAACTGAAGAGAACGGTAGCATAGTAGACAGGGATCAGCAAACGTTTTCTGTAAAGGGCTAGATAGTAAATATTTTAGACTTTGAGAACCACATACAGTTTCCGTCACAGCTACTCCGTGCTTCACAAAAGCAGCCATAGACAATAAGTGAGTGAATGAGCATGGTTATGCTTCCATAAAGCTTTATTTACAAAAGCAGACAGCAGGGGTGCCTGGGTGGCTTAGTCATTAAGCGTCTGCCTTCGGCTCGGGTCGTGATCGCAGAGTCCTGGGATCGAGCCCCGCATCGGGCTCCCTGCTCAGCAGGAAGCCTGCTTCTCCCTCTCCCACTCCCCCTGCTTGTGTTCCCTCTCTCGCTGTGTCTCTGTCAAATAAATAAATAAAATCTTTAAAAAAAACAAAAACAGACAGCAGTCTGGATTGAGCCCACGGACTACAGTTTGGTGGCCCTTGAACTGGAAGGCAGGTCAGATTAAGTTATCTGGAATGCATCACGGAGAGCAAAAAAGATGGAAAATACACAAGAGAGAGCAAAATCTTAAAAGAGAAATTTAACATGTTTAATCAGAGAAGAGAAGGAGAAAGGATGTGTGACAATATGAGAGAAAAAGACACATTTCTAAAACCAGTAGAAAACAGTAACCCACAGATTCAAAAGTCCAGCAAACACCAAGCAGAACGTGTGAAAGGAAATGGATTCCAAGACCCATCACAGTGAAGCTGCAGAGCTATAAAGATAAAATGTTAAAAGCACTCAGGAGAAAGACGGGTTACCTTCAAAAGAGCAATTGTTGGACTCACAGCTGACTTCTCAACAGTGACAGTGAAAGCCAGAGACAGTCTAGCTACCTAGAATTTCTAAACCCCACAAAAAAACATCTTTAAAGAGTACGTAGGAATCAAGACCTTTTTCAGACAGATACTGAGAGAATTTATGCCTAGCAGACCTGAAGGAAATTCTAAAGGATGTTCTTGAGGCAAAAGGAAAATTTGCTTTCACTAAAATTACGGCTCTCTTAATTTTAGGGTAAAACAAGCCATGAAATAGGAAAATTACAGCTTATAAAACTGACAGTAATTGTATTCAGAATATATAAACAATACAAATCAGAAAGAGAAAAGACAAGTACATCCCCACCAAAGTGGCTGAAATTGAAAGGGCTGACAATACCCAATATTGGTGAGGAGTATAGCAACAAGAAACTCTCACATGTTGGAGAAGGCAGTGTAAATCCATATAACCACTTTGGAAAACCACCTGGTGCTATCAAAACTAAATACACAAAAAATTCCTCTTGAGCCAGCGTATCTACTTCTAGATAGGTAGCCAGCAGAAACGAGGGCCTATGTTCACTAGAAGGTATAGTCATAATAACTAAAAACAAGAAACAACCCAAATGCATATCAGCTGAAGAATGGATAATTAAATTGCGGTGTATTTATAAAGTGGAATACTGCAAAGCAGTGAAATCAAATGTACTGTTCGTATACAGAACAAACTGGGTAAGTCCCACAGACGTAGTGTTAAATGAAAGAAGCCAGATCCGAGAATACATAGTGTTGGATTACAGTTTCCTAAAGAGGCAAATACAGGCAAAACTTAGCATGATAGAAATTACAATAGTGGTTACTCTTAGAGCATTAAACATGGGGTACAGAGGAGCCTTCCAAAGTTCTAAAACAATGTTTTCTATCTTGATCTGTTACAAGCACTTATATGTCAAAATTCACTGAGCTCTCTACACGTAAAATCTGTGAACTTAAACACAATAGAAAGAAAATAGGCAGAAGATTTCATTTAAAAAAGGGGTGCACAGCATTGTGAACGTACCTGATGCTACTGAATTGTACACTTAAAAATGCTGAAGTCAGTAAGTTTTATGTATATTTTATCACAATTTTTTAAAGAAGGAGAAATAAGAAAATATAATAAGTAAATAAGGGTTAGCCAGAAGACCAAGAAACACAGTCAATTAGTAATACAAATTAAACCAACAAAGAGATACCCACCTATACGACAGCAAAAATTCAAAGCCCAATGATACCATATGCCAGCGAATATGCAGAACAAAGGAAATTTGCATTCACTCCTGGCCAGGGTGTCATTTGGTACAACCACCTTGGAAAATAGTTTGGCATGATCCAACGGAGACTGGCAATTCCAACTCCTAGGTGTGTTCTTTAGAGAAACTCATGCATACAGGCCCCAGGATATAGGGGTGCTCATAGCCACAGTGTTCTGGTAACCAAAAACTGGTTCTAGTAACCAAATACTGGATGTTGACCAGTATTCCAATGGGTAGATGAATTTGTAGTATTTTATAGTAGAATTTCTTTTTTAAAGATTTTATTTATTTACCTGACAGAGACAGACACAGCGAGAGAGGGAACACAAGCAGAGGGAGTGGGAGAGGGAGAAGCAGGCTTCCTGCTGAGCAGGGAGCCTGATGCAGGGCTCGATCCCAGGACCCTGGGATCATGACCTGAGCCGAAGGCAGACGCCCAACAACCAAGCCACCCAGGCGTCCCTACAGTAGAATTTTATCCAGCTATGACAATGACTGAACTAGAGTGGCATGGGGGACTCACAGGCGTGATGTTGAGCTAAGAGACAGAAAACTTACTGTGATCAACTCTATATTGGTTACTCCTCCCCACCCACCCACCCCCATATTCTTCCGTCACAGAAATTATGTTTGCAATTGGAGGGGCCAGAAATTCAAGTCAGTAATTTTTTTTCTGATGACAGGGGCCTTCTGTGTTGTATTCATTGCTATATCCTCAGTTCTTAGGACCGTGTCTAGCACATGGTAAGCACTGTAAAAATGAATGAATTTTCAGCTGATAGGAGTATTCCCAGAAATATCTAAGGATACAAGGCAGATTCTGGCTAGGATGCAGAAGACCTTAACTCCTGTTACAACACAAGGCAAAATCCAGATAGTGTGATAATCACACTTATCCTTTGGATATTGGAATTTTCTGGTGCTGTGTAACACCTGACCCCCAAACCTAGGGGCATATATATATCCATATCCAGTGGTTGGTTTTGCTATTGGCTCAGAACTGAACTGGAGTTCTTGGCTTCTCTGTGTGGCCGGGGCTTCCTCACAATGTAGTGGCTGGATTCCAAGGAGAAATTTCAAAAAAGAAAGGGAGCCAGGTGGAAAATATATAACTTTTATGACCTAGTCACAGAGCATCACTTATGTTGCATTCTCTTGTTCAAGGCAGTCATAAAATCCCGTCCAGGTGTGAAAGGAGGGCAGTAGACTTCACCTCTTAGAAGAGCACATGAGTCTAGAAATATTGCTGTGACATCTTTGGAAAATATAATCTGTCACAGTGGGACTCAAGAGTGGCAGAAAACCTTGTGGAATTCATTTCCAGAGAGAGGGGAT